AAAATAAAAAAATGATGTAACATTCATTGTGTTGCTGGCTTTTTCTTCTCATTTTTAAGTGTAATCCAGTGGTTTAGTTTGGTATCAAGAGGCTGAATCCTAAATTGACATTACTTGATGAAATAGATTGCATATGCTGATTTGCAAAATATGAAAAGAGCTTCCAAGTGGACTTCCTAACGTTTTATCCCAGGGGTGCCAATTACTGAAATTATCTTAGTTAAGCAAAAGAGTAAACACCTTGAAAATCTGCAAAAGACCACAATGATATGCAGTGCTTCATCTTTTTGAATGAATGAATGAATGAATGAATGAGTAAATGAATTTTCTATTAAGAAGATATCATAGGTTAGGAACTATTCTTAGATATTTTTTTAAAAATCTATTCAGTCCTCCCACCTTGAATGGAGGTGCTATCTACTTTATACAAATGAAGAATTAAAAATATCAATTTTTAATTGGGGCACACTGAGAAGGCAATTGAGACTGGGCATGGTGGTGCATGCCTGAAATCCCAGCTCTTGGGAGACTATAAACAGACATATCACTAAGAGTCCAATCTAGTAGTAAAACCCTGAACACCCTGTAGGCCCTTCCCTAAAATACAAAAACAAAACAAAACAAACAAACTGATGGACAACCTCCCCCCAAAAATTGATAGATATATGATTTTAAAAGATATTTATACATGTAAAATACATGCTCAGACACAAGACACTTTTAAATTTTGGGGATGGAAAAGTAGAAACTAAATAATGATAAATTTCTTTTAAAAAGTTATTATATTTGTAACAATCTACATAAATTTAAAATAGGACAAAAGAGAATAACTTTAACATTGTAAAATCATGGCTCCCTAATATATTTATAGCTGGCATTTTGTCCTTTTCTAGCTAAGGTCAGCAAGCAAGTTCTTCGCATACTTCATCTATGACTAAAATATCTTACAAGCTTTTTGTTTCTCTTATTTTATCAATCTTCATTTTTATGTTCTTATCATTAAATATTGAAGCAAACATGCATTATTAACTCACCCCTGTTCTATGAAGCCTGTGATACCTCTCTGCCCAGAGTTGCTGGGTGAATTCTTTCAAGCCACACACCCTTTGACTCCTTCCCTCCTGTAATCTTGTTCCTCTGTCCCTCTATGCCTGGTAAGGAAAGAAGAGGGACTGTTTGTATCAGCTAATATGTCAATATATCAGTAGTATCAGTTAAATTTGTGGTTCTTGGTATAAATAGAAAAGATGTTGCATAATGACTAAGTAAATGGTATTTTACACACACACACACACACACACACACAAAAAAAAATCATAGGATTTCTTGCTGTCTTTAGTCTTGACCTAATCCAAGTAGTACTCATTCTGTGTGTGTGTGTGTGTGTGTGTGTGTGTGTGTGTGTGTGTGTGATTTCCCTTGTAGTGGTTGTCTCATGGTTTCAAAGTGGAGTCAGAGTTCTAGGCACTGTATTTGTGCTCAAGGCAAGAAGAAAGAGAAAAAGAAAAGCAGAATAAAGAACTAGCCAATTTTATTTTCCTTTTTTTTTTTCTCTTTTTCTTTCTTCCTAGAGATGTTTCCATAAACCCAAGTCATTGTGTTTTAAACACTTTATCAGATTGCAAACAGTGGTTTTCAATCAGGGGCAATTTTGGTTCCCAGAAGACATATGAGAAGGACAAGAGACTATTTAATGGTAACATCTGAGAGGTAGGGTCACTGGCTTTTGGTGGATAGAAGCAAGTCATGCTGGTAAACATCTTAAAAAACAGAGAGAGATACCCCAAGCAAAGCATCAGTCTGCCTAACTACCAATAACTTTGAGGTCATGATGCTCTACTGTAAATTAATCCCAAGGTGCTGGACACAGTGCATCTCAACACCAGCAAGGTTTATAAGCAAAGTACTGAAGGATTTATAGAAGACTCTTAGAGTTTTCTATCACACCTTCACATCTTCAGATATATTCAAAGCATTGCTCAAGCTCCGAGTCAGTTTCCAGCAAAGTGTTAGGAAACTCTGGTCCAGATTTCTTTGGTAGTCTATAATATTAATTAGGAAAAAAATGTCTTGGAATAGATTTAATAACTATTCAGCCTAGCCTCTGTATTTACTCTATACTTCTTAAAGAAAACAATTATTAATAATTTATTTTACATACGCATGGGATAAGCACTGGGACCATATTTTTAATAATTAAAAAAGCTACTTTCTAGTCTGACTCATTGTTGCTTTCAAGGCTCAATTCCTATTTGCTTATTTATATAAAAGTATGCCTTCCCCTCCTAGTCAATCCCTGTGACTAGGTGCTTCAATACCAAAGGGAAAAAGAAGACATTAAATAAAAAATTACACACACTGTAGTCTATTAATCAACTGTATTTTCAGCGCATTTCAAGTAGTGAGCTCTACAAATTCTGGAGATGGAGAGAGGTTAGTATCCCGGTTTTATATTTGAGGTAGCAAGTAAAGGATTTAAATGGTTTGTTAAATTTGGAGGTTGGGGGCTGGTGAGATGGCTCAGTGATCTAAAGCACCTACTTAGAACAAGCTTGGCAAGGCACAGGGACCGTGGTTTAATCCCCCAGCACCACATGCCAGCCAGCCCTGCCCCCTGGTGGGCTGAGCTGGCCACACACACACACACACACACACACACACATAAATTAAATTAAAAAAAAAATTTTGGAGGTTGGAAAATACCAGGACTCCTGACTCAAAGTTAATACATACAACACAATCATTTATTTTGTGTTCTGAATTATTCAATGACAGAAAGTCTAACAACATATTACATCTAGTGATCTAACCCTAGAAAGCCAACACTACTCTACACATATTAGTAATTATTTTAGTTTAATTATAGGATCTTATGTATTTATGTGCATTTATTCCTAACTCTGTACCTTACTCCCTTGTTACTTTCCCACTATAGACATACAACTCTTGTCAAGAATATAACATTTATGTCTAATTATTTTTGCATATAGTCTGTAATTTTATATGTGCATCATTATTGAACCTACA